ATAAATTAGCATACGCGCTTATTTTCAAAATGGCGGACAACTGTTCAAATTTTCTCAAATTCAATCAAATTTTCTCAGCAACTAAACGCGACAAACCGGCCAAAATATGAAATTAAATATTCCGTAAGTATACCTAACAGATATAAGTAATAAAAATTTTGGTTGCCAATGTCCTTTAAGTTGCAATATGCCACATTACAAAACAATAGACATTCAGGCATATTGCAAATTAAAGCATTAACCCATTGAGCCGCAATGCGTCTCAGCGTGCCCTACAGCCTACTTATCTTTTTCACTTGTCTAACACCAGACAATTTTACTCGTCAATGGGGAAGCTCTGCAGCTTATTAAATAGGTTAACCAAAAAATCTGACAATGTCTCTAGTTCGCAATGTGCCCCACTTATCTTTTTTTACTTGTCTAACGCCAGACGATTTTACTCGTCAATGGGGAAGCTCTGCAACTTTAATAATGGGTTAAACAAGGCATATTGGACAAAACAATATACATCAAAACCAATTTTTAAAAAGATCTACAAACGTAATCCACGTATGAATACATGTAAATAGTTGTATGAAACATACTTACCATGGTTCCCTGGCATATTCTTCCATCTTTTACGATATTTTCACAAAAACACGTTTTACAATATCCACAGCAAGAATGATGAAATTTTCATCAAGAAAACCACAAATATTCCATCTGTCACAAGCTGTCTTACCAATCGGAAAGCATCGGAATTATAGCTTGGAAAATTTAAAAATTGTCTATATTCAAGAATTAGGCCAAAATGTTCTTACGTTTTGTATTTATATAAAATGCGGGTGAATTTTTTAATGTCTGAAGTGTATTTTAGATGAAAATGATTTGTTTTAGTGAAACATTATTTTGTGTTTTGTTTGCTTCGACGATGTACGAACATATACGAAGTTGAAACGGGCAGCCGCCACTGACTAAATTATTACTGGATGTGTACAACCACTGACTGCAAAATGACTGGATGTATCAAAATCTCCACAAAAATTGTTTATTATTTTAAAATTACTTGCTTTAATATTTGAGCTCCACTTCAGCACTCGACAGCAACAACAAATTATTACAAGCTCGTAATTTTCCCCTTAAATTATTAAATATATTGCACATTGCATATTAATTAACATAAATATTTATTAATACTATGGTATCAATTTTGCTAGCCTTTCACTACCTGTATCCCCACACGTTTCTGTCGGTAATCCATGATGCCCTTTGGGGTCCTTGGCAATCCTCATACATACCCGACAATACACAGGCAACCCCTCCCACCACTGTCCTATTGCCGAATTATAGTACTCGGGCGGGAACTGAAAACCCTCGTACTTCCACCTTAAGTATTTATTATATTCTTGCTTGTTTTTAGCGAGAAAGTGTAAATGGTCGGCCAACGCTTTTGGTTCTCTGAAGTCTTTAACTTTTATCACAGACTGTTTCAAGTTTCCCCATTTCAGTATCTCGTCAATTTTATCTGTCCCCAGCCATATTGGGACCGTTCCGGATGATAACGCATTGTACATTTTTTCCGTGACGTAATAATCGCAATCAGCGTTTGGAAAAACCAAAGTGAATTTATAAGTACGCAGTAAAGTTAGCAATTTTGTGTCGTTACTATCTGACGTTCGTTTTAGAAATTTATGCGTCCGCAAACAGCTTCCGTAGAAATCGATTTTGATATGCTTTCTAAGTTCGCCCATGTAATGCGTCCGTAGGCCTTCACAGTTGCTGTACACAGCCAAAACCAGCCTCGTTTTATTCTCAAAAGGCATTGGCCGATCCAACCGTGGTTTCACAAACTCGGGCGAAGGGAAATCGGAATCCAACCGATAACTCACATAATAGTTAAATTTAGACATGGCGTCACGATTTCGGAGAACTGGCGTATACACAGGGTTCTCGTGCGATTGCAAAATCCACGGAATACTTCTGAATTTCCGGGGGGGGAGATCATCTAGACTGAAATCCCTCGCATGGAAGACAATCCCCGAGGCTTGTGAGATTCTATGTTGTTCGGTTGTCAGTTCACACTTGATGGGACATCTCTTTCCCACGTAATAAAACGGCCATTTGCGTGGATGGCCATCTTTTAGTCGCGGTTTTGCACCAAAGAATGTCGTCCAGAATATTAATAAAATCGTTCCACCTTTATCATCAATATTTTGAGAGCTGGTTTTAGGCACTTTTAAATCCTTTGCAAAGTTTATTAAATTTAAATTAACACTTCTGTTGTCTTCTTCTGTATTTAAAAAGTCTTCGCTAAACAAGTAGAATAAAAATAGAAAAAACACCAGCAAAAATAAGCCATATTTTGATTTAGTTTTTAAAAAATACATTTTCTTAATTCCTAAAATCTTCAATATCTGCAGAGCTGAAGAATTCCTTGGCAAGAGCTCTGACTGTCTGACATTCCTTAGTTTTCCCAGAAATTCCTTATTCAACTCAGTGATTTAATTTCATTCATTTTTAATTTTCTGGGAATTCTGTGCAAAAAAGGCAAGTTACGTACTTATAGGTTTGAAAACCAACTAGAAAAATTCGTGTAAGTTGTAAAAGTCACAAAAAATCTTGAAATCAACCTCAAAACTTCAAAATCTACAAAAACTATGCAAAATTCCTGTTTTCAAGGAAATATCTACTGGATAGAGAGGCCCTGTATTACTGTAAATAGATCTTACACGAAGTACCTTGAATGGGACCTTTAAATTTGTTTACATTTTACTTTAAATTTGCACGTTGTTTATATTTACGGCTGAGTTTTGTTTGTTTTAAGTGAATTTAAAAACAGAATATGGCTTCGCGAATAAGCAGCCCGCCCGAACGTATTCTGCGGCCATTATTTCGAGCTGCAAAGGACAGTGTTCGCTCGTACAGAGCTGCTGTTTGCAAGACTTTGAAAAAACCTTTGATCGTGGATGAAATGCCTGCCGTTCAACAGCTTAAGAATAGTCAGGTACTGGTCATAAACTTGCTGCATGCACAGACTGTAATCTGACTTTATATGCTTGAATGCACTTGTGTTAATATAGCGAAAATTGCAAGCATTTTGCATATAACTACTTCAATTATTGTAAAATTAAAATAGAACCATAATTTCAACCATAACCCAACCCTATCTCTAAACATCATTTCGGGATAGTTCCATGGAAAGTCAGTTTGAGCAACTTGTCAGCGTTTGTTGCAGGGGTTAGGGTGAATGTTAGGGTGTTATTAAAAGATTACGACACTGCATGCCAAGTTCATCACGTTTATCACATGCAAAGTTTGCCACGTGTTTTACTCCGAAAAGCCAATTACATTTGTGCAATCCTCTTCAAATCAGGGATGGATCCAACATGATCTGGTAGAGGGGGTGCTCTGCCAGCTCTGGTGCCGAGTTGTGTCAGTCATGTGTGCCGCCCGCCCATCAACTTGCTTCACTAGTGCAAAGTCTTGCTTGACTACTGTATTTGAATTGTAATTGTTGTTCACAGTTCGCTTATCATCATGTTATTACTCAGATTACTGTATCTCATTTTGTCTTTAATAATTTTTTGCTTTATCATGAAAAATAGCACCCCCTCTGGCCAGGGCTAGGGGGTCCACACCCCTCTGCACTTCCCAGTAAATCCATCCCTGCTTCAAATGCTTGTTATGGTGATGATGTTGGTGTATGGTGATAGTAATTGTGTTGATGATGGTAATGATGATTATGATAGTGGTGACAATGCTGGTGGTGATTATGGTGATGATACTTGGTGATGATGTTGGTTATGATCGTACGTGATGATGGTGATAATTATGGTGGTGGCATTTCCAGTTGAGCCAACCAATAGATACTACAATGATACTTTTTTCTTACTTAGGTGCGGATTGGAGTGCATTATTGTGGAATAAACTTTGCAGACATATTGATGGCAATGGGATTGTATCAGGAGAAACCTCCTCTGCCAGCGGTGTTTGGTAATATCTCTCAATCTCGTCCATGGATAAACAGTCACAGATTAAACTATTGTCCAGTCTCATGCAAAACATTCATGCTTGTTAAAGACCATGTCAAGTCTGTTCTGCGCATCAGTTCTGCTCGTAACAAAGGGGGACCCACAAATATAAACAATGCCCACATTTTGCATCTTTCAGTCTTTTTGAATTGAAACGTACTCTAGTTTATATTCATTTACAATAGCGAACCAGAAAAGAGTTAGATATTCAGTTAGTATATCTTATTTTACAAATTGTAGGATTTGTTTACATTACAGACTTGACATGGTCTTTAAGAGTGTTTGATAATTAATATTGAAGTTCACCTTGATGGCTGAAATAAATCAAACATTTAAATACTTGTTACAAATATTTTAGCTTTGCACATGGCTGCAGAAATTAACCCATTAATTGAGCTGCGCTCTTCCCTTGATGAGTAAAATCGTCTGGTGTTAGACAGAGTAGAATTATAAAGTTGGGCACACCATTTTTTTTATCTGTAAATGGACTTGATAAAATATTGCACAAACTTGTTGTATTTAGGTGGAGAAATATCTGGGAAGGTCCTGGAAGTTGGCAGTGATGTAAAAACTGTCTCAGAGGTACAACACATGCTCAAAACCCTTGGCTAATTGTTTACCATAGAAAACCAATTGCTCACTGATAGTATGTACGCGTGTGCGTACCTATTTTTATTGTCCGCAGGGCGACCACGTGCTGGGTTTGAGTTTCATGGGCGGAGGCTTTGCTGACGAGTGTGTGCTCGATTCCAGGGTAAGATTACTTTGCAGTGTCTGATCTCAGAGCTCGGGCAAGGCGGAACTTTATAATCAAAGCCCATTTTCCACCAGTAGGTGACTATTTGTTCGCGCGAAGCGATAAACAAATCTTGGCAATGTGATTGGTTGGACAGTTCCTACTTTTTTACTGTTCGTGCGAACAAATTCGCTGCCAAGTGGAAAATGGGACACCCTACTTTCGACCTACAGTAGCAGGCTAAACTTAGACCCCGTTCACACGCCGATACCGGCATGGAATTCTGCCGGCAAAAAATCATCACGGTTTCAACTGTTCACACGATACCGACAGATTATATTCCGCTTTGACAATATGCTGCACATATCAGTTAAAATAGACAGAATAAAATATCCAACAACAACTTTTGCAGTTTTGTTAATTTCATTTTGCATAACCGTGATGAAATTCTTACGGTTAGGCGTTCACACGGCACTCTGACGGTAGAATTTCGTTCCGTTTTGGCGTTTTCAAACTCTTACGGTTTGCATATCGTTTCCAAACTCTTACGGTTAGCGTTACGGTTTCACATTTTTTCATACCGGCATCGTGTGAACGCAACCCCTGAGCGGAAGAATTTCGTACCGTTTTCAAACTCTGCCGGTATCGTGTGAACGGGGTCTCAGAGGTCAGGGGCAGCACGCTAACCCTTGCTTTCCCTAACTGAAAGCTATAGCACTGATAATGATTGTTAAATGTTATCTAGACTGTGTGGAAGGTTTCAAAATCTCTTGATTTGAAGGACGTGGCTGCAATGGGGGTCTCATACGGCACGGCCTGGGTGTCGCTTACAAGAAGAGCTCACGTTCAAGCAGGGTGTGTGAAAAATTCAGAATTAACTCTGGGCGCAAAGGACAGCAGAGGAGGATCCTGAAAGGCAGCGAGAATTCTGTTGTTTCACCCAATTTATACTTAGAGACGGATAATCCCTGTCTAAAAACTGACCCAGCTGTCGCTGCGAACTATATACTCGCGACTTGCGATTCGTTGTTGCATCAAAAATTACTTTGTAGTTGATTGGCCTTTGTGATTGCGTGTTCACTGCACACTCGATGTATCTTCAGTAAATACCATCAACTTGTCACAAGCTTGATGGCATTATCAGACTTGTAACGAGGTTGTTCTAACAAGTCTGATAAGTTGGAACAACTTATAACAAGTCTGTTTAGCTCAGCAACATTGTATAAGCAAGTTGTCAACGAGTCGTTGGCAACTTGTCAACAAGCTGGGAACAAGCAGTGCGAACACATCTTGTTGACAAGTTGTTGGAACAGCATTGCTACAAGTCTGCTGCAGGTTTGTTACAACTTGTGCGTTTTTACGCATGTATAGGCGCAAGTAATAAAGTAACATTCATGTTACTTTATACTTCTTAGGGAAAGTGTGCTGGTGACTGCGGCCGCAGGGGGCGTTGGGATGGCAACGGTAGATCTTGCTGCTAATGTTCTCAATGCCAAGGTTATCGGAGCCGCTGGAGGCGAGGCGAAAAACAAATTAGTATTACAACAAGGAGCAAGCAACGTTATAGATTATAAAACACAAAATATTAGAGAGAAGGTAAGATGTAAGTAACTTTATTTATACTGGATAGCTCTATCAGTTCTAAACTGTTCTTCCTAGAGGTCCAGTAAGGATCATCTCTTATTGATCCAGTGTTCCTACAGGAGGAAACCTAAACTAAACTAACTTTATTTATACTGGATAGCTCTATCAGTTCTAAACTGTTCTTCATAGAGGTCCAGTAAGAGTCATCTCTTATTGATCCAGTGTTGCTACAGAAGGAAACCTAAACTAAAGTTATAGATTATAAAACACAAAATATTAGAGAGAAGGTAAGATGTAAGTAACTTTATTTATACTGGATAGCTCTATCAGTTCTAAACTGTTCTTCCTAGAGGTCCAGTAAGGATCATCTCTTATTGATCCAGTGTTCCTACAGGAGGAAACCTAAACTAACTTTATTTATACTGGATAACTGTACCAGCCGTTCGTCCTGGAGGTCTAGTAAAGATCACCCTCATATCGATCTAGTTACTGTCATCAAATCCTCTATGTTCTGTTCTTCCAGATAAAAGAGTTTACAAATGACAAGGGTGTTGATGTTGTTGTTGATTCTGTTGGAGGCGAAACTGCCATTGAATGTATTAAAAGGTAGGTTTTTTATACGAAAATATTTTTGTACGAAAACAATTTTGGTAGATCCACTGGCCTCTAGACAAATGACCTTCGCTGGTAACATCCTTAATGCGCTGTGTCTTAAACTATGTATGCATTCAAGGCAGAGCTGACAAATTCATATTTTTTAAGTAGTTTGAAACACGGCATTATATTTCATTTCTAGTATTTCCTGGGAAGGGCGATTTGTCGTCGTTGGATTTGCCTCAGGGGAAATTCCTAAGGTAAGATGATGGTGACGGGCTTGTGATGATGATGATGATGGTGATTGATCATGATGGTGATGGTAATGATGATAATAATGGTATTGATGATAATGGTTATGATAATCTTGGTTAAAGTTGTAAGTACATAATAGTACCTGACGTCGATTTTTATTTTTCTACCCAAGATTGCGGCAAATTTACTTTTGGTGAAAAACTGTTCTGCAGGTGTGAATTTACTACTTTGTTTTTTACACAATTTTATATCTTATAAATGAAAACTAAATTTATATTTCATAGCTCTTTTTAGCAAATTTATATTTTGACGTAAACAATTTATTTTTTGTTTAACTCTAGTTGGAGTATATTGGGTAAGCCTTACGCTTTTAAAATTTTATTTATCAGTGAATTCTGTAGCTTTCCTTATCTGTCATGATTTTCTTGATAAGTTTTTATTGAATTTCTATTGATTTATAATTCTATCACTTTCAGGGAGCGTATAACAGGAAAAAACCAGAAGTCCTAGCGGGCTGCATTAATGACGTACTTAAAATGTTAGAAGCAAATCAAATTCATCCACATGTCAGCAGAGTTTTCCCACTAAACGAGGTACGTGTACAGGGTAGATAAGGGCCATTCCATTTAATATCCACACCCCCCCCCCCCTACGGATGAGGTCAGTAAAATTTTAACCCCTAAGAAAAAAAGATCAAAGTGCCGACACAAAACACCCCTCGGAAATTTGTAAATTTTCCCAAAACACCCCTCAGAAAAATCGCAGAGATCAAAGGATGCCGACAGGCTTAACCCCTCAGAAACGACTTTTTGAGTCACCCTTCAGAAAAGCTCATCCGTAGGGAGGGTGTGGACATTAAATGGAATGGCCCTAAGAAATACGAATTGTTACAAAATGTTCCTGGTTTGTCCACCTTTGGGAAACATGGCTAGGAAACAATGTTTGCTGGTTTGTCCACCTTTGAGAAACATGGCTAGGAAACAATGTTTCCTGGTTTGCCCACCTTTGGGAAACATGGCTAGGAAACAATGTTTCCTGGTTTGTCCACCTTTGGGAAACATGGCTAGGAAACAGGCTTAACCCCTCAGAAACGACTTTTTGAGTCACCCTTCAGAAAAGCTCATCCGTAGGGAGGGTGTGGACATTAAATGGAATGGCCCTAAGAAATACGAATTGTTACACTAATGTTCCTGGTTTGTCCACCTTTGGGAAACATGGCTAGGAAACAATGTTCCTGGTTTGTCCACCTTTGGGAAACATGGCTAGGAAACAATGGTTTGTCCACCTTTGAGAAACATGGCTAGGAAACAATGTTTCCTGGTTTGTCCACCTTTGAGAAACATGGCTAGGAAACAATGTTTCCTGGTTTGCCCACCTTTGAGAAACATGGCTAGGAAACAATGTTTCCTGGTTTGTCCACCTTTGAGAAACATGGCTAGGAAACAATGTTTCCTGGTTTGTCCACCTTTGAGAAACATGGCTAGGAAACCTTTGGGAAACATGGCTAGGAAACAATGTTTCCTGGTTTGTCCACCTTTGGGAAACATGGCTAGGAAACAATGTTTCCTAAGAACAATACGAGTTTATATATATTTTTTTTAGATAAATGAAGCTTTTAAATTTATCATGGATAGAAAATCAACTGGCAAAGTATTGATTGCAATGTCGAACTCAAGTTGATAACAGAGAGGCAATATATATACGCATGCTGCATGATTCTTTTCTAAAACACTGTAAATTGTAGACTTGATAGTGTGCAATGATTTATATTAAATTTAAACTGAGGTATTATTGATCATATAATTTACTTTTTATTTAAGCCATCGGACTGGTGAGATTTTGATCGTCTTTTAAAACTCATGTTTGTTTTTTCAAAATGCATTCGAAACCGCGCCAAACACTAATATATGTATACAAAACTCGAGCATGAGCAGAACGAATTTATCTACCCCTTTATCTGTTCTGTTGAAGGCTACGTCGACACTATACTGGATAGTTTTCCGTAGCGCGAAAAAGCACCTATCCAATACGGAATGTACAACTTTCAGAAGCTGAGCGAAACAACATCTCTCCGTTACAATAATTCCTCTGAAAACAGCGTTCCTAAAAGGCACGGATATAGGTGCTTTTTCACGTCGCTACGGAGCTAAGCTATCTGCTACATTGCAAACGTAGCCTTACTTGCTATACGGTTTTAATTCAAGAGCGTTTTAGGTTTCTAGTAGAACTCCAACCCTAACTTTGCTAACTATAATTTTAATATACCACCCTAATTGAAAAAATCGTTAAAAAATTATGCACAGTACTTGCATGGTTAATGAGATGCGAACCACATGAAGATATTGATTAAGACGTCTGCCTCCGTCTCAACTTTGGCAAGAGGGTGGTTATCTTCTGGGTAGACCAATAGCCTGAGAAAATGCAAAATATTTTAATTAAAGCCAGTTTCGGGGAAGGCATGGACCGATCATATAGGGTAATCAGTCAATCTACTCTGATCAAATCATGTGAGCGTGCTTATATGAGACACCAAAATACGGGGTTCTCATAAGCACGCTAAAACAAGCATACCGAGCGCGCTTATGAGACACCAAAATAAGGGATTCTCATAAGCACGCTAAAACAAGCATACCGAGCGCGCTTATGAGACACCAAAATAAGGGATTCTCGTAAGCACGCTAAAACATGCATATAGCCAGTTTCGGGGAAGGCATGGACCGATCATATAGGGTAATCAGTCAATCTACTCTGATCAAATCATGTGAGCGTGCTTATATGAGACACCAAAATACGGGGTTCTCATAAGCACGCTAAAACAAGACCGATCATATAGGGTAATCAGTCAATCTACTCTGATCAAATCATGTGAGCGTGCTTATATGAGACACCAAAATACGGGGTTCTCATAAGCACGCTAAAACAAGCATATGAGCGTGCTTATGAGACACCAAAATACGGGGTTCTCATAAGCACGCTAAAACAAGCATACCGAGCGCGCTTATGAGACACCAAAATAAGGGATTCTCATAAGCACGCTAAAACAAGCATATATGAGCGTGCTTATGAGACACCAAAATACGGGGTTCTCATAAGCACGCTAAAACATGCATATGATCGTGCTTATGAGACACCAAAATACGGGGTTCTCATAAGCACGCTAAAACATGCATATGATCGTGCTTATGAGACACCAAAATACGGGATTCTCATAAGCACGCTAAAACATGCATATGATCGTGCTTATGAAACACCAAAATACGGGATTCTCATAAGCACGCTAAAACAAGCAGTATATGAGTGTGCTTATGAGACACCAAAATTAATAAGGGATTCTCATAAGCACGCTAAAACAAGCATATATGCGCGTGCTTATGAGACACCAAACTGATAAGGGATTCTCATAAGCACGCTAAAACATGCATATATGATCGTGCTTATGAAACACCAAAATACGAGATTCTCATAAGCACGCTAAAACAAGCATATATGATCGTGCTTATGAGACACCAAAATAAGGGATTCTCATAAGTACGCTAAAACATGCATATATGAGCGTGCTTATGAGACACCAAAATAAGGGATTCTCATAAGCACGCTAAAACATGCATATATGATCGTGCTTATGAGACACCATGCAAAATAAGGGATTCTCATAAGCACGCTAAAACATGCATATATGAGCGTGCTCATGAGACACCAAAATAAGGGATTCTCATAAGCACGCTAAAACATGCATATATGATCGTGCTTATGAGACACCAAAATACGGGGTTCTCATAAGCACGCTAAAACATGCATATATGATCGTGCTTATGAGACACCAAAATACGGGGTTCTCATAAGCACGCTAAAACATGCATATGATCGTGCTTATGAGACACCAAAATACGGGATTCTCATAAGCACGCTAAAACATGCATATGATCGTGCTTATGAAACACCAAAATACGGGATTCTCATAAGCACGCTAAAACAAGCAGTATATGAGTGTGCTTATGAGACACCAAAATTAATAAGGGATTCTCATAAGCACGCTAAAACAAGCATATATGCGCGTGCTTATGAGACACCAAACTGATAAGGGATTCTCATAAGCACGCTAAAACATGCATATATGATCGTGCTTATGAAACACCAAAATACGAGATTCTCATAAGCACGCTAAAACAAGCATATATGATCGTGCTTATGAGACACCAAAATAAGGGATTCTCATAAGTACGCTAAAACATGCATATATGAGCGTGCTTATGAGACACCAAAATAAGGGATTCTCATAAGCACGCTAAAACATGCATATGATCGTGCTTATGAGACACCATGCAAAATAAGGGATTCTCATAAGCACGCTAAAACATGCATATGAGCGTGCTCATGAGACACCAAAATAAGGGATTCTCATAAGCACGCTAAAACATGCATATATGATCGTGCTTATGAGACACCAAAATACGGGGTTCTCATAAGCACGCTAAAACATGCATATATGATCGTGCTTATGAGACACCAAAATACGGGGTTCTCATAAGCACGCTAAAACATGCATATGATCGTGCTTATGAGACACCAAAATACGGGATTCTCATAAGCACGCTAAAACATGCATATGATCGTGCTTATGAGACACCAAAATACGAGATTCTCATAAGCACGCTAAAACAAGCATATATGATCGTGCTTATGAGACACCAAACTGATAAGGGATTCTCATAAGCACGCTAAAACATGCATATATATGATCGTGCTTATGAAACACCAAAATACGAGATTCTCATAAGCACGCTAAAACAAGCATATATGCGCGTGCTTATGAGACACCAAACTGATAAGGGATTCTCGTAAGCACGCTAAAACATGCATATATGATCGTGCTTATGAGACACCAAACTGATAAGGGATTCTCATAAGCACGCTAAAACAAGCAGTATATGATCGTGCTTATGCGACACCAAAATAAGGGATTCTCATAAGCACGCTAAAACATGCATATATGATCGTGCTTATGAAACACCAAAATACGAGATTCTCATAAGCACGCTAAAACAAGCATATATGATCGTGCTTATGAGACACCAAAATACGGGATTCTCATAAGCACGCTAAAACATGCATATATGATCGTGCTTATGAGACACCAAAATAAGGGGTTCTCATAAGCACGCTAAAACATGCATATATGATCGTGCTTATGAGACACCAAAATACGAGATTCTCATAAGCACGCTAAAACATGCATATATGATCGTGCTTATGAAACACCAAAATACGAGATTCTCATAAGCACGCTAAAACATGCTTATATGATCGTGCTTATGAGACACCAAAATAAGGGATTCTCGTAAGCACGCTAAAACATGCATATATGATCGTGCTTATGAGACACCAAAATAAGGGATTCTCATAAGTACGCTAAAACATGCATATATGAGGGTGCTTATGAGACACCAAAATAAGGGATTCTCATAAGCACGCTAAAACATGCATATATGATCGTGCTTATGAAACACCAAAATACGAGATTCTCATAAGCACGCTAAAACAAGCATATATGATCGTGCTTATGAGACACCAAAATACGGGATTCTCATAAGCACGCTAAAACATGCATATATGATCGTGCTTATGAGACACCAAAATAAGGGATTCTCATAAGTACGCTAAAACATGCATATATGAGCGTGCTTATGAGACACCAAAATAAGGGATTCTCATAAGCACGCTAAAACATGCTTATATGCATGAAGGTGCTTATGAGACACCAAAATACGGGATTCTCATAAGCACGCTAAAACATGCTTATATGAACGTGCTTATGAGACACCAAAATAAGGGATTTCATAAGCACGCTCGTGCTTATGAGACACCAAAATACGAGATTCTCATAAGCACGCTAAAACATGCATATATGATCGTGCTTATGAAACACCAAAATACGAGATTCTCATAAGCACGCTAAAACATGCTTATATGATCGTGCTTATGAGACACCAAAATAAGGGATTCTCGTAAGCACGCTAAAACATGCATATATGATCGTGCTTATGAGACACCAAAATAAGGGATTCTCATAAGTACGCTAAAACATGCATATATGA